CCTCCTATTACAAAGATTTCATGACACAATCATGGACGTGTTGCAGGAGGATGATGTTGGTCATGTGCAAGTGCATTCGCATTACAGATATTGAGAATGATGAAGATAGCCCCAAGACCATACAACATACCTCCCAACAGTACCAGGATTTGTGGGTTTTTCCCACTTTTTAAAGAAAATATTGACATCCAGTGGACTAAAAGATGATCCTACTAAAGTGAGACAAACTTTCTGCTGCTAGATTGCATGCACAAGGGGTGAGCTCTGCCTCTTTTCTTTCCTTTCCAGACTCGTTACCTGCCAGCTGATGGAAGAGCTGGGAGTCTGAAAAGACTTGTTATCCTGCAGCTGATGAGAACAGAAAGGAGCCTGAGAAGACCGATTGACCCTCAGCTCACAGTAGAAGCCAAAAGACTGCCTCATACTCACTCAATGTTTCTGTAGCTGGAGCTCAGCTACCAAACTTCTGATAATTGCTGCGGGGTAAATCCTTCTTTGTGTCTCAGTGTTTGTGGCCTATTCCTGTGCGGCTGTCTAAAGATGTCAGAAAATGTTTCTGCAGCTGTACCCCAGCTTCCAAAATGCAGGGTAAATCCTGCATTTTGTCTCCACATTTTCAGCCTATTCCAGTGCTAATGCACTGTATAGCTACCACAGAATGTTTTCACAACTGGACTTAAGCTGCAAATTTCTATTGCAACTTAACCAAGCTGCTTACATACTATCCAGCCACAGTACAATATCTGTGGCTACTGTCTCTCAAATAATACATCTCAATGTCAATTTTAAAGCCCAGCCCTGGAAGATAACAAATTATCCCTTGCAGTGGGACAGTGCCCACACTGCCGGGGTTAATAACTCATTTTGTCTGGGGGGAAGAAGAAACGGCTTTATTTATCTTATTCTCCACTCCCCCAGAAGCTGTGGGGACCAGTCTAGCTGCAGGGAGGTGTGGAGGATCAGGTAAGTAAATCTTACGTTATTGTTTCACAAGCAATTAACCCTTGTAGTGAGGCACAGCCCCACTGCAAGGGATATTTTTTTTTGCCCGAAGTTGCGCTTTAAGCTAAAACTGCCTTGTCTCTCCCTTTACATTGCTACCTTACCAAGCTGCTTGTATACTGTCCAGCAACCATAATAATATTTCTGACTAATGTCAAATAATACACTGTACTGGGAAATTCTTAAAGAATAGTGTAAGATAAATATAAGATAATATAAGATAAAGCCTGCCTTATCTCTACTTCTTATATGGCTACCTTACCTAACTGCTTACATAATATCCAGTGTGTAAAAAAAAAAAGAATCCTGATCACTTGCCCTGAGTAGTACCATGTTACTATGGTAACATTGTATTGCTCTGGTCACAGGAATTAAAAAAAACCCTAACAATTAAAAAAAACAGGTAATAATAATAATAATTAAAAAAAAAATTATATATATATATATAATTTTTTACATACTGTCACCAGTCAGTGTCCCTGATTACCACCAAACTGATTATATGTTGATGCTGTGCTGAATTGGTGACAGTATGTTACATTGTGATTTTTTTCAACTTCTTTTTCCATAAAATTCTGACAGAAAAATTGACAATTTAAAAAAAACTCACCATGCTTCTTACTAAATACCCCAGACTGTCCATTTCCCAAAAAGTTATTTTGCGGGTATTTGCACTGTCCTGGCAATTTTGGGCCTCAAGAAATTAGATCAGCCATCAATACTTCTAGATTGTAAGCTCGAAAGAGCAGGGCCCTCGATCCCCTCATGTTTTGCAATCTTCTAGATTGTAAGCTCGAAAGAGCAGGGCCCTCGATCCCCTCATGTTTTGCATTGTATTGGTATTGTTCTGTCACATGTTCTGTCCCCCTTTGTAATGTACAGCGCTGAGTGAACTATTGGCGCTTTATAAATACTGTATAATAATAATAATCAGGATTTATCGATTTTTAGATAGTTTGTGGACTCTATAACTTTCCTACAGACTAAATAATAAACACTGATTTGGGTTATTTTCACATTTTGGCCTAAATTTTGGTAGAAAAATTATTCATGTGCAACATTTTATAACAAACAAAAATGTATTTTTTTAAAAAAAAATTCAGTCTTTTTTAGTTTATAGCGCAAAACCCAGTGATGATTAAAGTGTCACTAAACCCAGGACCCTGCATCACTATATCTGGTCTCCCACAGTACACAGAACATTCAAAGTGCAATTATTTTAGTAAATATAAACTGTTAAATACCTTTTCTCATCAGCAGTTAGAGCAGTCTTGTGGCTTCTATCAGTGTCCAGCCCAGCACTAGCTAAACTTGTAGGAGTTTTCTTTCTGCTTTAGGAGGATGCAAAACCCCTGACCTCTGTTTGACCAGTGCTGATTGGCTCTGTGCTGATCACATGCATTCTACCAAGAAAAAAAAACAAACTCTCTAGCAATACACATCAAACTGAGCATGCAGTCTGTCTTATCAGGAAATAAGAGGTGGTTGCTTGAAAAAGGGGAGGAACAGGGAAGAAAGGATCAAACGGCCTTTTTATACAATGCAGAGCATTAACCCCTTAGGTTCCACGGTGAGTATAACAAACATGCTTTACTGCATATACAGACTGATTTTACTGTTGTTGGTTTAGTAACACTTTAAAGACCACCAAAACAAATCTATTTGTGTGAAAAAAATGATAAACATTTCTTATGGGTACAGTATTGTATGATGGCACAATTGTCATTCAAAGTGTGACAGCGTTGAAAGCTGAAAATTGGCCTGGGCAGGAAGGGAGTAAAAGTGCCTAGTATTGAAGTGGTTGAACAATGCAGTGTGGTGCTGTAAAAGAAGAAGCGCACAAACTATACATTTAATCTGTAGTTCTATTGGCCAATTTGTACAGAGTTAAGGGCTTTTACTTTATTTTTTTAGAGTAAACTTTCTGTTGTTGCTGCTACTATCACTGTTCACTTTAGGCTGTTAGATAAAAAGAATTAGGTGTTACAGCCACAAATATCTAAAAAGCCTTTTCTTCCACCTTACTAACCGTTCTCTACCTTACTAACCGTTCTGTATCTGCCACCCCTCTATGCCAATCCCTCCACTGGCTTCCCGTTACCCAACGGATAAAATTCAAAACACTAACAATAACGTATAAAGCCATTTATAACTCTGCTCCAAATTACATCACCGATCTTGTCTCTAAATATCACCCAAACCGTACTCTCCGCTCCTCGCAAGACCTCCTACTCCCTAGCTCCCTTGTCTTCTCCTCCCATGCTCGTCTCCAGGACTTCTCCAGAGCTTCCCCCATCCTCTGGAACTCTCTACTCCAATTCATCAGACTATCGTCTACTCTGCTCACTTTTAGGCGATCTCTGAAAACCTGTCTCTTCAGGGAAGCCTATCCTGCGCTTAGCTAATACTGGAATCTTCTACTCTTCCAACCAGTCCATCCCCCACAGTTACTACCTTTTGTACCACTAGCTCCTCTCCCTCCTAGATTGTAAGCTAAAAGGAGCAGGGCCCTCAAATCCCTCTTGTATTGAACTGTATTGTTGCTGTATTGTCTCCCGTTATATTGTAAAGCGCTGAGCAAACTGTTGGCGCTATATAAATCCTGTATAATAATAATAATCTTAAAACTGACATGAATCAGATTGAGGAGTGGTTCTACTGCTGTATTTAAGCCAAGCTAAAAATAAAAAATAATTAATCAATTACACATTTAAAATACAGTATGTGAAGCCAGAATATGGTGTTGCTGATACTGTCCATGAAAATCATATCGTTTTGCAATAGTACATACAGTTTAAAGATCTCTCCCATGTCTCTCTCAAAGTCACATGGAAATGAGAATATGCTCCCCACAATACTGTACTTTAAAAATATATATATAGATATATATATTTCTTTGTCAAATGTCACCCTTGGCAGTGCTCAGTTACCCATGCTAGTTTTGACAACACAATACTTTGTCTCAGTATCAGGATACACTGGGAGCCAGTCAACAATGCACGTCCAACAATGTGAAAGATTACAAAAAAAAGTAAAAATGTGAAAGTCACTTAAAAATGACAATGATAACCCAAGGTTATCAGCCTAAATACAATGGACTTTCTATTTAAGTATATGAAAGTAAGAATTTGCTATGAACAAAGTGTATCTGAAATAAATTTGAAATAACAGGTAGTATTTGTCATGACAACACACGGTTTTAGAATGGCTTCCTGCTGTAATCCTAAATCAAATTATAGGATGGCTTAAAAATATATTTAACACCAAGTGTTGCTGGTTATGTCAAAAATCTTTATCCTTTTTGTGGGAAAAAATATTTCCAGAAATCTCTTTAAGTAAAATTTTACTTTTGAAAAAAAAATTGTTGTACTGTTAAATGTAAGCAGTAACTCATAAAATATATCCCCAATAAATAGGATTCATCCCATACAGAGACACCAAACACAATAATAAAAACAATATCCCTTGTCGACTGTGACTGACAACACTTATACAGCCCATAGGATAGTTTTCTTTTTTTTTTTTCATTCAGCTAGCAGGTTGAACGAAAAATAATTACTTTGTTTCCCCATCCACACACTCAATGTGAATTGGGGAATCCTCCTTGCTTAGGCACTCTATTCCGATAGAGGGAAGACTTCCCTGCTCTAGGAAATCACTGATCAGCACTGCCAGCTATGGCCTGCAGCATTGATCAAGTGAGGGAAACCCAACAGGCTGGTTGTACAGAAGTAATTTGGTAGATCAACTTCTGTGCAAGCAGCCTGCCCATACATGCATCAAAATTTAGCCAGTTTCAATCCACGCATGGCTGGCTTTATTCTCCCTATTCTATTATTCGATGCTGGAAAGGCTTTTAACATGGTGATCTGGATATTTCTCCAACCTATCTTGTTACAAACAGGCCTCCCCAACACCTAGCCTCCGCAATAGGACAAAACACTTCAATACAAGACATCCAAATTGCAAAGATGTAAAGTTGTCTTACCTGCTGAAGGTGTTGTTGTGCTAATCTGAAGGCCACACAAAGTTTGGAGGTCTTTAGCTATTGACTCTGCAGACAGTTGTCGACTTCTGCGCACTGTGCGCTTCAGCATGTACTGACCCTCTCTGTCAATTTACACGACCTACCTCTCCATGGCTGAGTTGCTGTTGTTCCCAGTTGCTTCCACTTTGTTATAATATCACTAACAGTTGACCGAATATTTAGTAGCAAAAAAATTTCACGGATGGACTTATTGCACAGGTGGTAACTGTGACTACGCCTAAATTCACTGAGCTCCTGAGAGTGACTCATTCTTTCACAAATGTTTGTAGAAGCAGTCTGCATGCCTAGGTGCTTTATTTTATACACCTGTGGCCATGGAGGTGATTGGAACACCTGAATCCAATGATTTGGAAGGGTGTCCCAATACTTTTGGCAATATTGTGTGTGTGTGTGTGTGTGTGTACGCACCTTGCTCTTTGGCTGTACCTTGCTCTGATGTTTTCTAACAGCTTCCATCTCTCTGCTCTGATTTTCTCTCTTTTATTTTAATATGGTTCTTTGAACTTTCGATTTATTCAAATATTTTTTTTTCTATTTTTCCAATAATTTCCTTCACTTTCTTAAAGCAGACCTCCACCAAAGGGGGAAGTTCTGCTTTAAAGACTGGTCCCCTGCTCACCATTAAGGATTGGCACCTTTGGGGAGCAGGTACCCGAAATTGACAGGTACCTGCTCCCACTTCCGTTGCAGTCACCTAGGCAATCAGAAGCGGATGTTGTTCTCCCCCCTCTCTCCCTGTATTCTTCTGGGACAAGTGACAGGCCCCAGAAGACTACGGGACCATTCAGAAAGCGCAGTGCTACTCGTGCATACGCAGTAGGCACTCGGCTATGAAGCCGCAAGCTGTCACAGCTGGGTGCCCACACTGAAGATGCCAGTGCCAGGAACATCGGCTAGCTGGTGAAATGGGCTACAGGGAGGACACCACAGGATCGAGGGACAGGTGAATGTCTGTTTTTTAAAAGTCAACAGCTACAGTTTGTGTAGCTGCTGATTTTTTTTTTTTACTGTAAACCTTAAGTTCATTGATCAAAATTAGTTTGTTCCATCAGCAACCAACAGGGCTGGTTCAGCCGAGAATATTGATCCATGTATGGACAGAATCGTTGGACACAAGTTGATCTTTTGACTGGTGTACAATCAGCCTGTTGGGTTTATCACGAATGATCAGTGCCACTGGCTATAGCCAGCAACACTGATTATCACATTCTTACCATGGGGAGGCTCCATTTGCAGCTTCATCAGAAGTTATGGGTGCTTAGTGCATTAGTGCCCATTGTCATACATAGTATATGTTAGTATAGTTCTTAATCAGCTTTGTAGCTTCTTGTGCCTCATTTCCATTTTTAGCCTGCTTTTTTACTAAAGGAGTAGAGCATGTTCACTTTGCAAAGTGGACTTTCATCTAAGGTGACACTAACGCTTAGTTGTTTTTTTTTTAAATAACAAACATGTCTATACTTACCTGCTCTGTGCAGTGAATTTTAAGCCTCTATCCTCTTCTTTCTGGGTCCCCACTGGTGCTCCTGGCCTTTCCCCCTCAAGCAGTTCCCCCAGGGAACCTTGACTTGCCTTGACTTGTCTCGACTGCACATCTTGTGACTATGAGTCATAGATCTAGCCTTGACAGATTTTAATAATGTCCTTGTCTTATTATTCTAAACTCTAGTTACTTCTCTGCTGAGTATCCTACTAAAATTATGGCAATTGAGTGTCAATCATCCTTCACACATACATTCTATACACCCATGTCACATATGTATCACACCCTCATTGGCTTACTAGCTGTCTCAGCCAATGTGAAGAAAGGCAGCAGAGGTGGAGAGGGCTCTGGTAAGGATTGGGGGGGGGGGGCTGGGGATGGCCGCTGCACACAGAAGGTTTTTTTTTTACTTTCATGCATAGAATACATTATGGTAAAAAAAATAAACAATCTTGAGCCTTAGAAATACTTTAACTTAGTAAATGAGGTGAAAATTCGCCCAATCACATGGCTACCCAGTCATGCGCAAGGAACACAATTTTTATGCTTGCCAGTCGTTGGAAAGTTGAAGTAGCCAGAGCTTCACTTAATTTGTGAAACTAAGGGAAAAATTGCCTTGCAAAGTGGAAATTAACTTTTCTAAGTGAACAGCCTATACTCTTATAGTAAATCAAGTCCAATTAATCAACATCATCACACTGCTAACTTGCTGTCCTTTGAGCACACAGTTATAAAGATGAAAAGAGAATGGCCCTCTTTAGACATGTGCAGTTCGTTGTGTTCCAAATCGAATTTCCAATGTTTTTTTTTTTATTATTTGGAGGTTCGGATATATCAGAATTCTGAATTACAAAAATAACAAATTTAAATGAATCTGAAATAACAAAACGAAATTCGGCCAAAATTCGATTAGAAAACAAATTTTAATTAAAAAACAAATTGAAAACAAATTTTGAAAACAAATTCGAATTCGAAAACAAAATTGAACAAACATTCAAAAGACAATTTAAAGTGGAGCTCTGTCCAAAAGGGGAAGTTCCGCTTTAAGCCCTGGTCCTCTGCTCCCCATTCAGGATTGGCACTTTTGGGGAGTGGAGGGAGGGAAAGCAGGTACCCGAAATTGACAGGTACCCACTCCCACTTCCTCTGAGATTGCTTAGGCAATGGGAAGTGGAAGTTGTCCTCCCCCCTCTCTCTCCGTAGTCTTCTGGGACATGTGACAGATCCCAGAAGACTATGGGACCATTCACAAAGTGCAGCGCTACTCGAGCATGTGCAGTGAGCAGTGAAGCTGCAGGCTGTCACAGCTGGGTGCCCACTGTGAAGATGCCGATGTCGGAAACACAGGGTGGCTGGTGAAATGGGCTGGGGGCGCGGGATCGAGGGACTGGTCCATTTTTTAAAGGTCAGCAGCTACAGTTTTTGTAGCTGCTGACTTTTATTTATTTATTTTATTTTCAAAGCTACACGTATGACCAGCTTAACTTTTCAAATTCAGTCGAATGTTTTCGATTTTGGTTGAAATCTTTTCGATTTCAAGCGACTTTTTGAATTTTGTTGAATCAATTTCGAATTCAGTTGAGCCAATTTTGAATGTAAATGACTTTTCGAATTTGGTCGAAATGTTTTCTAATTGAATTTGAATACGAATTGCCAAAGCGAATCCCGAAAATGAGTTGAACTAATTTACTGAATTCAACTACACTAAATATGTTAGATTTCAAAACTAAACAAATTTTTTTTTGCGCATGTCTAGGTCTCTTAGTAATTCAGAGTAGAAAAAAAATTTCTGAAAATATCTCTAATTCTTTTATTGATTGTTTCTGAAATGTGCATTGCTCTAGCTCCCACAAATTGAACTTTTAAAAGAAAAGCTAGGCTTTGACTTTAGAGAGTGGTTGGATATGCAAGTGCAATTTTTTTCCATGCTAAACTATGCTCAATCCACTACAGAGTGGCCCATATGCGTGCAAGATCAACTCTGCTGTGAATCAGTGGTGAGAACAGGGAAAAGGAGAAGAAGCACTGGTTTATTAAATAGGAAAATAACAACTGGGGCAATAATCTAATCCCTAAAACTGCTTGTTCTGCTTACATGTGTAACATTGTAGGAGTAATGTCTTCAAACACATTGTATAAACACAGAGTAATGTAATAGGCCTAACATTGCAGGAATAAGTCAAGAGCAAAACTAATTCCTTTTTTCACTTTCTTATGGCAACAAAACTAAGAATTTGGCAGACATTACACATGGGAGAATTGGGACTGGCAGAAAATACAATTAAATTCATGTATAAACAGAGGACAATATAATATCCAAGTTACAAGTTTTTTTTTTTAAGTTTTGAAAAATGGAAGTAATTCACATACATGTAAAGTTTAAAATAAAATGGGGTATGCTGGCTGAGAGGATGAATATTCCACATTATATATTATCTAAAGCCAATTCACTGTTCTTGTAGCTTCTTGTCAAATAGGATAGGGATAATCCATAGTCTAAGTAGAACAAGATAGGGAGACAGGGAGAAATGATCTAAATGCAGTAGTAAACATGTAAAACTTGAATAGTGACAAATGATTACACTTACAAGAGAAATGGAGGAGAATCAGCTTGTCATACGCCTGCAGAAAAGACAGGATCTTGCAATGTCTTCAGAACAACAAGGACACTGCAGGATACCGCCACATTCCAACAATCAGTGGAACAAGCCATGCTGTTTTTTCCTGCATTAAACTGTTTGATCCTGTTTCCTCTTCAGGCTTTTGACAAGCTGATTCTCCTCCATCATTCCTGTGCAATCAGGTTTGATTTTTAAAAGTTTAATAAGGGAATGCAATAGAGCACTTCCAAAGTTCCAACAGTTTTCTGATGTTATGGCCCTTTAAAATGGCCTGTGCTAGATTCAAATAGATGTTCGAGTTGAACATAAGTTCAACTCGAACATTGGCCATTCTTGTGTTCGGCGAACATACGAACGGTAAGGGTATTCGGCAGGCTGTTCGTGCGGCGCCCTGACAGTGCATTGTGATTGGCCAAAGCAATGCACCTGACCACGGGTCAAGTGCAATGCTTTGGTCACTCACAGCGTATGATGATGTCACAAGAGAGTGGGGTGACCCCGTCCACTTGTGATGTCATCACAGTATTTAAGAACTATCACCCCTGTGCAGCTCTCAGATGGCGGGAGCCAATATCAAAAGAGCGGAGGTTTTTTAAAATTTTGGGTCGACGGTAGCAGTGGGCATCATGATTGACATTGGATCTACTTCAAGGGACATTTTTTTAAATTCTTGTTTTTAATAAAAGACCTGTCAAAGACTGTCTTTTGTAATTTTTTTTACACTACACTTTTTTTGTGTGAATGAGTACCCCATACTCATTCACATGGGGGGGCGAGATCTTGGGGCCCCCTTGTTAAAGGACGCTTCCAGATTCTGATAAGACCCCTGCCCACAGAACCCCACATCCACTGGCCATAGTTGTTGGGAAGAGGCCCTTGTCCCCATCAACATGGGGACAAGCTGCTTTAGGGGGGAGCCCCCTGCCCCAAAGCACCGCCCCCATGTTGAGGGCATGTGGCTTGGTCTGGCTTCTGGGTTGCATGCTCAGATAAGGATCTGGTAAGGATTTTGGAGGGACCCCCACACTTTTTTTTAAAAAAAATTGGCATGGGGATTCCCCTCAAAATCCATACCAGACCCGAAGGGCTTGTTATGGACGGGGCGGGACCTTATGCTTAAAAAAAAAAAAAAAAATTAATTGCTGGGCAATGCTAGCTGTTATTTTTTCATTCAGCTG